CCATGTGGAAAGCAGTGAGCAGACAACGCAAGCAGGAGATGCGAGTATGGAACGATCACATGGTGGCAAGAGCCAGTCAAATCGACTGGTATGCGTACAGGACGCTAGCCAAGCAGCAGCGGAGACAGGGGTGGCACCACAAACTCGTAGACAACGAGGGGTGGCAACAGCAACTGAGCAAGCACTTCGGGGGGATTTTTGCCAAGGCACCAGGAGCTCGCACAGCACGTAGGTTGGGGGACACGAGGAGGGCGCTCACTTTGCTGTGCAAGCACACGCCCTGGAGACCCTTTACAGACACCGACTTGCGCCTGGCAACAGTCAAGTGGAAACGGGGGAAATCGACGGGGCCAGATGCGGTCTCGCATGAGCTCCTCCTCCTCCTGATGCAAGAGCCGAAGTGGAGCCACCGCATTCTTCACATGATGAACGACATCCTGTACATGGGGAGCATTCCCCCACCTATCCAGCACGGGGTCACGGTGCTGCTGCCCAAAACCGCGGGCGACCCGACGGAGTGGGGGGAGACACGGCCCATCACGCTTAGTTCGGCAGTACTCAAATGGTTTGCTCAGTTGCTGCTTGGCAGAAGTGGGGACAAAGTCCAGATGGGGGCCCCGTACCAATGGGCGTGCAAAGGCAAGCAGGCCCCAGAGCTACTCGTGGTCCTACGCAGGGTGGTTAGGATGGCCAAGGATTGGGGGACACCGACATGGATCATCAAGTTGGACGTTCGCAAGGCCTTTGACAGCGTGTGGCAAGAATCCATGGGGGACATGGTCGCGGGGCGAGTGGGGGGACTGCGTGCGGGGGGAGGCGGCACACCAGGGGGGCACCCCTGGGAGGCGCGTGCCTGGCTGGGCTTGCTCGAAGCCCGCGAGCTTAACATAGCGGTGGGGGACGAGCTGGTGGCGGTTCCACAGACCAATGGCGTGCGGCAGGGATCGCCGGACAGTCCAGTACTGTTCAGCAGAATAGTTGCGGACGACCTTGCGGGGGCGCTGGGGGACGCACGACCATTGTTGGGGGACGCACGGGGGCCACCACCCCCCCAGTCCGGGGGGGCCTTTATGGATGATACGTACCTATGGTCACACGACAAGCAGCATATGCAGTATGCCCTGGCCAGCCTCGAACGAAGGTTGGGAGCCCACGGACTGGAGATCAATCCAGCCAAAACCGCCGTCATCTACAGTGAAAAGACGGGGGGCGGCGAATTCACCATTGGGGGGCAACAAGTGGGATGCTTGCCGTATGGCACCGTCATCACAGCATTGGGGTCACCCATCACCTTCGGGGAGGGAGTGGCGGCAATCGTGACAGCCATGAACCACAGGGCCAGGCAGGCGTTCCAGAAGCATGCGAAGCTTTTGTGCGCCCCCACACCTCTGAAGGCACGCATCAAACTCCATCAAGCACTGGTGAGGGGGGCAGC